GGTTACCACCACCATAAAAATTTTTGGAGGAGACTCAAAAATTTTTCCAGTGTCCTCCAACAGCGCCACCTCTGGACATGTGAGCCTTTGAGGGACATTTTTTTTTTTTATCCCAAAACATGACTAAAGAATGTTAGAAGTTGGAGCACTAAAAATATATTGTAAAGAAGAAAATCTTGTGATGACCGAAAATATTACTTTGAAATAGTTGTGCATTTGCAAATCACAATGGCAATGTTTACCTCTTTATTTATGACCGGCACTGATGACATTGACCTGGCTACCTCAGGTTCCCTTTCTCTCTCCTGATTTCTTCCAAAAAGTAAAGCCTTTTCATTAGAATTTTAAAATAAACTCTAGAAGAACTCATTATTTAAAAATAGGTTTAATTAATCCTAAGTTAACTGCATTCACTTGATCAATAAATATTTTATTATTAGTTGGAATTTACTTGTGCTCAAAGGAAAAATCAAATTATTAATGACTACTGAGACAAAAGTCTAAGTTATACACACATAAGTTTACAGATTTCACTCATTAGTAGTAAAAACTGGGTTGTACATATTTCAGGGGGTAGGAAAGAGGAGTCTTATTTTATCCTCAATGAAATGAAAGATTTCGTTTAGCAAACTTGAAAAATTTGATTATGTTCACCACATTCTGAACAGCCTAAGGCTTTAAATTATAATCTACTCCATTGTAACTTTTTGGACTTAACTTTCAGTACTCTTCCACTAATAGAGTCATAAGACCATGTGGGTAAATCGAACAGACCACAGCATGACTTTGAGCTGTCTCACATACAATTCAGAAAGTGTGTTCCATTAAGCAATTCACTTATCATAGGTTTCTTACAGTTAGTTTATAAAGATTGTTTATCAGGAGCAACATGGGAGAATTATAACTTTTTTCAGCCCTGAATTTTCAAAGGAGTTGAATTATGCAAGCATCATTAAGCAACAGACTACATAAAGAGAAACACAAAAATATTACAGATTAAAACTTGGCAAACCATATCTCAATGTAGGTAAGCTACTTAACTTCATTACCCCTAGAACTATAATAGCCAATAGGCAGCTATTATTTTTGTTCCTTACAAGCATTATTTTTAAAAGCTAATAATTATAAAGTCTCTTTCCAAATTTTGAATCAATTGAAGCTTAAATAACCTAGTGCTCTGATTTCTTTCAGTTAAAAAATGATTAGCTAGAGAATTTTTGAATTACATGTGTAGTATTTTAAAGTAGCCAATATCATCTTAATAAAGCTGAAATTGCTATTTTAATCTCAGTTCTTGAATGTTTTATATGAGCAAAGGCTACAGAACGTTTCTCCTCTAGAGATTCTGTGGGAAAAATAATGAAACCTTGAGATGGAATGCAATCTTTATTTCTGATCTCCTGGGAGGTTGAATGTATTTCAAATTTGTATCCGTATCCAAACAGAGCTTCTTGGATCTTAGTACCTATTTTGTTGTGGTGAATACAGAGCTCCAGTATCACTGTTATGATTTTCTTATTGACTGTTTTAGTTAACTTCATTTATATAGATTATTTTGCTATTACTTAATTGCTGTGACTGCACAGCTTAGTGGAGAGGCATTGTAAATTAATATAAAATATTTCTTATAGATTAAAAATGTTTTCAATTATATATATTTTATTTTTGAATTACAATGCATGCATACTGTACATCTAAAGGAATATAACCAAATCTAAATGAATATGATAATAGTTGTCTTTTAAAAGCTAAAGGACATTCTTAAGAAAAATGGTGAATTTGAATAGGAAGGCTTCCATTTGTCTGATTCATTTTCATCTTTTGTATTAGATATGGATATCAATATATGCATCATAAGGCATCTTTTTTCATAACTGTTACTCTCTCCTACAATATAGAAGACTTAGTTTTAGAATTTACCCTGTACCTGTCTCTCCAAGTCATGAAGTTTAACTTTTCCTGTTCACTATTCCCCTGAAAGTAAAATAACAATAAATTTAAAGGTCTTTGCCTTTCAGAAACAAAACATAACTGCTCTTTATCTGTGTGGTTCAACTCTGAATTCCACTTTGAGAATAAAATCTAGAATATTTAGTTGGTTGAAATGACCATCTTGAATTAACAATGTGATAGATGTAACATCATAGAAATTTCAAAGTGGAAATGCTGAATGAAAGTGTGTGTGCCTGTGTATGAGTGTTCATATGCACACGCACACACACACACACACACGCACACACACGGAAGGAGTCAAAATGCATTCTGTGCAATGCTACTGATAGTTCTAATAATAGTATCATTAATATTTTAAGATTTTGGTGTAATTGCTTGATATTTGAACCTACTCATACTAAGCTGGAGGTTCAGCTTAATTACTGAATTTTCTTAAGGACAAATCTTTAAAACTTGTCAACAGTTCTGGCTCTCAATATTTATAAAGCCAAATTGCAATAGATGTTTTCCTACATACTGACATTAATATTTCACAATCTAACTCTGTGACTACTTCATACACAAAGAATGAAAAACATTTGAAACTTTCTATGCTATAAAATAAGGATATATATTTATTCCAATGAAAGAGCCCTGATCAGAAGTATAGCTTTGAAATAAGTGCCTATTTGTGATGGATGCCTATTTATTTAGGATGATGAAAATCAATACTCATAGATTGGACATTAATTTTTTTGCTTTAAGATAAGTCTGAGTACTTGCATACCATTTTGGTGTTGAGGTCATTGATCTCTCTTTAAATAAACATATTGTCATAGAAATGCTTTCAAATAACATGAGCTATTTCTGAGTAGAAAATAAAGACAATTACGTGCAAGGGTTCTACCTTTCAGTGTTTATCTTAAATGACAAGTATATTCATAACAGTTCCTAAAATAGTAGCTAGCAGGTAGTTGGGGTCAAATATTTGTTGAAAGAATAAATAATGAACATGGAGAAACCTCAGTGTATCAGTGTATGTGTAGAATAAACCCTAAAATTTGATTGTATCACAGATTCATCTTAGTGAACAATTGCAATTATATACATGATTATTAAACAAAGTCTACTAAGCACTTGTATCTTAAACGTCTGTGCATAATCTGAAAGAGATAATTCCAGCACCACATTATTAGCGTAGTAAACAGTTCTCTTAGTGTTGAAACCCTTCCCTCCACACTGCCCATCTCTGCAGCCTAGCTTTTCATTGATATTTCTTGGTATGGTAAAAGCCTAGCTTTTCACTGATTTTTCTTTAATTCTTCCCTTTCTGGGACCTAGAATCCTCAAGTGAAAAATTTTCTTAAGTTCATTTACTTATTAAATTACACATACCACCCTTATTTCTAGCCTTTAATGTTCTTTTCTCTTTCATTTTCTCTAAATTAACCCAATCCAATTAAAATATCATATTGGCCACCTACCAGTTTCAAATTTTCTACTATCCACAATAAAAAAAGGAAGTCAGGCATGGTGGCATATGCCTATAATTCTAGCTGCTAAAGAGGCTGAGGCAGCACAATAACAAGTTCAAGGGCAGCCTGAGCAACCTATCAAGATTTTGTCCCAAAGCAAAAAGGGCTGTGGATGCAGCTCAGTGGCAGAATGTGCCTAAAATATGCAAGTTCCAGGTTCAATCCTTAGTACCACAAAAAAATAAAAAAGGAAAAGAAAGCGATTGACAAGAAATTTGAATACTGTAGTTTAATTCATTTATACCAATATTATTTTAACACGCAATCAAACAAGTTTGAGATGTTTTAGATTATTTTTTGTTATAAGTCTTTAAACCCAGAGTGTATTTCACACTTAGAGGATGTCTTAATTCAGACCTACCTCAGTGCAAGTGACTAGCCGCTACCTGTGTCTAGCAGCTACTGTGCTGTAGAGTGTAGTTCCAGACATTAAAGGCAATGCAATTTACACAACCCTAAAATAACAGTTAGGCACTAACAGTAACAACTGTCAAAAACTTTTAAAGAATATTTCATAGAAATTGATAGTAATATCTATTTGTGTTTTGGAAATAGGTAGCCACAACATTTAGTAAATTATCACTTTATGACTCCAAATTTTTGTATGAGAGTATTTTTTCCCGAAGTCCTTTGCATATTTAATGAAGATCATTTAACCAAATCCACTAACATAATATATTTTTAGATAATAGGAGTCAGAGATGTAAAAATGTAAAGCTATAAAAGATACTGTACGGTAAAAGTCCTTCAGTTTCAGAAGAATCCTATTTTGATTAAAACAATTTGTTTCAAAACAAGAGTTCTTATTCCCATCATTCAATTTGTGCTTGGAAAATATTTACAGAGAAAAGAGAAAAAAAGAAGCACATAACCATACCATTAAAAATCCCTAAGATATAAAAGATTTTTACTGCTTAATCTTCTTGTGAACCATTTAATGAAGATAGTAATATGTCATCTCTAAAGAAGACACTATTGAATGTCAGACAGCTTTAGTTTAATTGGCCTGCTGAAGTCACAGAACTAGTAAATATGTCTCCAAAGCCTGTGACATTTCTACCACATCTCTGTGCCAGAGTGGTCCTCACATAAACATTGTGGCAGCAACTAGATCCCCCAGAAACATACTGAACTGGCTAAAATTAACTTTAAATACATAAAATATTCTTTACTAGTTGTGACCACTCTAAATGTACCCAATATTTTCTAACTTACTAATGCATTTCTAAAAATTATAATATGTTGTCATGTATATCTAGATATACATTTCCCCTCATTATATTTATATAAACACACACTCAGAGTGTACTACAGACTTAACCAGACTATATTCCAAATGTAAAAGGAAAAGAAGTCAAGAAGGAAAGCAGACACTTAAGTTATTATGGGAGGATATGATCGTGTTCTTTTCTTTCTTCTTCTTCAGTGATCACCATTTGGGGAGCCACAAAATGTTTCAGAAAAATAAATCTGTTATTCAACTTCATCTACAGAAAAACACAACAGCTCCAGGAAAGTTATCTAGAAAGGTAAGGCTTCCTCAGCAGGGGTTTGAATTAGCAAAAGAATTGGTTTAATGACAATATGCTTATCTGTCTGCCAACCTGGAATGACATAACTCAATCAACACGTATTTATTTGACTATAGTTATTGGAACATAATGAAATATTTAAGCTAAATGCCTGTTAATTTAAACTGAAGCAACAGGATGGAAGCAATCTTAGTGTTATATACTGAATGTTTATACTCCTGAAGGCTAGCCATCATGCGACAGCGTTAGAAGGTAGGTCATTTTGATGTAAAGGCGAAACCATGGAAATCAGAAAAATAACACAACTCTTGTTATATCTGAGGACTGTTTATGTCCACAAACAAAGCAGCTCAAATCATGAAAGATTAATAGTCAGAGTATATATGACCAAACTACATGGAAAGGGATTATGGTCCTTTAATGACCTAATTTCACGCTGTTAGATGTGAATTTTATTCCCTGTGTGATGTCTTGAGTTTCTTCCAACCCAAATTGCACAGCATGCAGTGAACTTTGATACTTGGCAGTTTTTATCTGCAGAATCTTCCAATTACCTGCTTTAAGCACAAATCCTATCTTCCTGTCGTTTCCATCAGATAACAGATTTCTACTGCATGGTTCTTTTTCCCCTTCATATACGGTGCTTCATCATAAAAAATGTCAGGTGGTATACGAGGTTGCAGTATATCTGTGTGGCATAGAACATAATGAGGCCAGGAGAGAGCTGTTTAGAAATACCCTTTGGACCCTGTTTCCAACCTTTCTGCTGTTGACAGCTCCAGGGCTCTGCATCTGAAAGCTCCACGAAGAAACATTATAAAGTGCAGTTAATATTGTCAGTATTAATAAACTTACGATTCTTCAAAGTGCCCTCAATATTGTAGAAAAAGCTGAATTCATCATATTTCACTGCAGCATGGGAAAAGAAAAGAAAATAGATGATTCTAATTTGCGTGTTTCTAAAAAAGTAATTTATCTCATTGGTGTAATAATTCACAAAACACTAACATTTCAGTCTCACATAAATTGAGCTTCATTTTTAAATCCATATAACTCCACTATTCTGATAGAATACGTGTTTAGCGTATATTTTGTGTCTGAGACTTTCACATTTCTATCATATTTAATCTTTACAATTCTATGAGGAAAGCACCATTGAAAATAAAGAAACAGAATCCCAGGGGGTCATCTGGACTTTCCTAAGACTGTAGTCACAGAACCGGTGAGAAGAGTTTGATTTGAGCCCAGCCAGTAACCCTGTAGAACCCAGGGAGCACACTACCAATTTTATATGGTAAAGTGGTCCTAGAATGTAGATGCTATTCTCAGAGATTTTAGATGTGAGTTTTAGAGAAATTGGTCAATATTCTAGCTTTATGTATACTTTTACTTATTTTGCTTTACTCTCCATAGTTCTTTTCATATAGTTTAGAGACTGGGATGCCACATATTTTTAGTAACCATATTTAGTAACCATGTTTAGCTAACCATATTATGCGTCTATTATATACTAGGTATACATAGCAGTAGCTCTTGGAGCTTTAAATGATTAAATAGCCTACCAGCAAAAAAGTGATAAATACTATATTTTCCCTATCATATATAATTAAAAGTCCTGAAAAATTAAGAGATTAATTCATCAGTTACAAGTCTTACAGCTACCAAACAAGAGAAATTGGATTTGAGCAAAAGCATTTGGGTACAGAGCCATAGGTACTGGAATAGAACTCACAATATCAAGCATGCCAGGCAGATGCTGTGCCACTGAGCTATATCCCTGGCCCTAGAACCCACTATATTATAATAGCACCCACTGAAATATCTTTGGGCTATTGTCACCACTGATGTCATCACGATTAGGAACAAACACATAGTCAACTCTGAATATATACTGAATAGTTGTCACTTGAAATGTCTTCTTCTTTTTTCTTTTTTTTTTTTTCCAGTACCGGGAATCAAACTCACGACCTCACGCTTGCCAGGCAGGTGCTGTGCTGCAGAGCTAAATCCCTGGCCCCTGAAATGTTTTTTCAATATCACACCTAAATTGTAGAGATAATTAAGTTACACAGCCATATCTCTCAATATTTCTAACACCACGAGTAAACTTTTGAGATGGTTAAATTAAAACTAATTTTAATAAAGCTTTAGAATTTTCAATAATGAAGAACCGCAATACCACAAGTCTATACTTTAATTTTATGACCTTAAGAACTGATCCTAAGTGCTACCACCAAGGTTAGGCACTGACTTAAGTTCTTCACTTATATTTCTCAATCGAGTTTCCATAGTAACGAGATCAGGTAAGTACTCTTATGTTTCACAGTTTTTGATGAAGAGAATTTCTGTCTGAAGCCTCATCAGTAACGCCTTTCCCACCCACACTCCAATTAGCACTCTGGTCCTGTGGGCCCTTATCAGAATTGCCTACTAAGCTCTGCTACAGCACGTGACTAAAAAGGGTAATTGCCTTTGTTTTAATGTAAATTTTGTAAAGTTTCTTCTTTCTGGAATATATATGATATATTGATCAGCTTAATATAACTGAGACAGTTCACCAGTTTATGATGCTCATCCATTATGTGAATTATTATATGTAAAATAGTTGACCTTGGACTTTATGTAGATATCATAAAGAGTAAATGTTTTCTCTTAATTCTATTTTTAAAATGCTGTCAGAATTCTCTTTAATTTTCAGAATTTCAACTGCTAGCTAAACCTCTGCAAACAATTACATTGCTCTTTTAGTCAAACTGTAAAAGTGGTTTGATAGTACCTTTCCCCATAATTCTATACAAATAGTCATTATTATATTTGTTAAAGTGTACTGACATCATTGGCTTTCATTGGCCTAGATTTTTCTAATTATAAAAGACATTACACCGCTATATTCATCTTACATGATTTCCCTATTTTAAAATTGATTATATTATACAGAAATACAATGATTTAATTCTTGTTCTAAAAGATTGTTCATAAAGCAATTTGATGGTTTTGAGAAATCATCCCTGATCTCAAAATTTTAAAACTTCTACCTTGATTAGATGTGATGTGAATGACTGAATCTCTTTTGCAATTTTAATCTAATTTTATCTCTCTCCAAGTGGATCAAAAATGTTGTCAGCATTGTAGATACTAATCATAAGAACAAGATTTCCTTCTAGCTCAGGGACATATTCACAGAACAATTATATTTGTAGAATCTTTATGAAGAAAACAGGTTTGAACTTCTTTCTTAAAACCAGTGTATGACCTTCGGTTTTGGAAGAAAGTAAAATGGACACTATATTTCATGGATAATAGCTGAAAATTTTCTCCAGCATTTTGAGATATTGTTTAAAAATTCTAGAAAATGGCAATAGAACAAGGGCTAATCCCTCCCATATCAATATCTCTGGAAATCAAATAAAGTGTCTTTTGCAATGAATATGCTTAGGTAGGTGTTGGGGACCACAAATCATAAATTGCCATAGATGCTGTCCAAGGCCCTCCTTACCATTGCTTTATGAACTGGTTTTGGAATATGGAAATTCCGCTTCCTTTCAAACAGGCTCACAGAGCAGGATGAGGTCTGCTGAGGGAAATACGGGAAAACTAGCACCCAGGTGTGGGGATGAAACTTAACTTGTTTCCTTTACAATGTTGAACTTGCCCAGTCAACCACTGCTTCTACTCTGTTCCAGGAAAAGCTCCGTACCCTTCTCCTGCATGGGCTGATAAAATGGTGGCCTGCTGGGGATTCTGGGTCTTCATCCCCAGAGAACATGGATCATATTAGAGCCCTACTGTACCCCCTCTATTTTGTCTCTTGCTTTCTTTTCTTTCCCACTATGTGCTGTCACATCTGGCAGGAGACTGGGGACTGACTGCAGGTGCCCCAATAACTGGCATTGTGGAAAGGGTCTCGCATGGGTAGACAGAAATTTTCAAATAAATATACTTCAATTTATTTATTTTCAACATATAACGATATAAAATCATATTATTTATATGTTTGCTTTGGTTTTAACTTCTGAAAGAAGAGACAACACTGTCTTAAGTACCTCCATTGGGCATGGTGACACACACCTGGAATATTCCTGTATGCTGGGAGGCTGAGGCAGGAGTTTCACAAATTCAGGCCCAGGCTGGGAAACTTAGCAATTTAGTGTGACCCTGTCACAAAAAAAATTAAATAACATAAAATAAAGAAATAAAATAAGGGCTGTGGATACAGCTTGGTGCAAAGTCTATAGGTTCAATCTGCTGGAAAGAAAAATAAATAAATAAATAAATTAATTAATTAATTAAAAATATCATTTAAATTGACTGTTCTTATTTTATATTTTCCCTTCCTTTTTACAAAACTTAACATACCTAAAGTTTAGCTTTCTCTGATTCAGAAAAAAAAAAAAATCGAGTCACCAGTATGATTCTGTTTTACCTATCCCTTGGATGCCAGATGCACATTCCTAGAGTAAACTGTACGGCTGTCTCTAAGTTCCTTTCTATTTCTGTAAAGTGTTTCCTTTTCACAGCACGCACTCAGAGTATTGCTTTCCGGTGATGACTTATTCCGTTCATGTAGCTTAGCTTCTTTCTACGTCCTCACAAGACAAACAAACATGAAAATCATTTACCTTCGATTTTCAGCAGGTAGAATATTCCATTCTCTGCTCAGGTGCACAGGGTTTTCATGAAAGCCTGTTTGGAAAGAATTGAAGGAACTGAGAAGTGTGTGTGTGTGTGTGTGTGTGTGTGTGTGTGTGTGTGTGTGTGTACCAGAGGACTGATAATTGCAGATGAGTAGTTCCAGCTCAGGTAGGCAGGAAATGAACTGTCAAAGAGTAACTCCTAGAATTTAGATTTATCAGCAATTGTCATCCATTTTGGAAAACTCTCTTAGACTGATATTTTGGCAGCAAGATATGATGAAAGTAAAAAATGCAGAACAGGAATTCATCCAGTGCCTTGAGCCCATCTGAGGAGTTATAGTCTTACACTGCCATGGACTATTTGGCCTCAATGTATTTAGAAAGAAAAGAAGGAAGAGGCTAAGGGTGAGGAAGGAGCTGCAAGAGGAGGAGGGGAATGTGCGTGTATGTGGGGAGAACCGGTTGGTGCCTAGAGACCTGCTTTCCTGCTCACTGGGAGAAATTGTTTGACCTTCTTGATGCCAAGATACATTTCCACATTTGCCTAGATGTAGCCTTATCCAAACCTCCAATTTCTGTTTCGCTATTGAAAAGAAGGATTATACAGCTACGGAAAGTCTTGTGAGGTCAATAAGACAAAGTATAAAAATGATGAATGAGAGTTATCAAAGGAGATGAATAAAAAGACAGCAGGAAGCTACAAACCTATGTTTATCTATTACTCATTCCTATTTCCTGCACAAATATTAATATATTCTGTTCTCCACAGCCTGGTGATGACCACAGTGAGTTGCACCTAGACCAACTTATAGAATTTACGCACATTTGGAAAGTGTCCCGGTAAGATGTTTTATTTCTGTTCCAAGACAACTTCCTGACTGAGTTCTCAAATGCCAATTCATAGTATTTTTCAGTTCATTGTACAATCTGTCCTTTCACTAGTACCATGGAAGCTATTATAGTTTTAATAGATATCTTCCTTTTGCAAATTCTGTAATTATCTGTTTTCCACAGCTCTTCAGATATATTTGAAGAGCTGCTAGCACCTTCCAGAGCAATCTAACATTCATTTTAAAATATCTCTGCTGCTGGTTATTGTGCGTTCAATGATGTTTTAATTCATTTTGTGAATTTGGGTATGCATGTGTCACTAAACTCCTTGTAAAACTAAATTTCCATACTTTGAAAGTCATCATCTTCTGCTTAAAATTCCTTCTGGAACAACCTGACAATAATTGGTATATTATAAACAAAGGAATGTGAATTCAAATTGGAAAATTTAAGTGATAGGAAGTGAACGTATCTTAATTATTCTTGTACCTAAATATAGTCATGTATTATCTGAAAGAATAGAATTATCAGAAACCTAAACTAGGAGAAACAATCAGTGCTACAGATTGGGTATTTCTGGAATTAAACTGTTTTGAGTTAAACCAGCAAAAACAGTGTGGGAAGTACATTTCTAAATCTTTACAGTAAAACCTGATATAAAATAAGACAATACAAACTTTATAAGGCACTCGTATGAAATGTGTATAAAATAACATCAAGAGTACTTCCTTTTATGCTCTATTATTGAATCATGGACAAGAGAGTACTTGTAATAAATATTTGTGCTAAAAATAATGTAAAATGCACCACCCAATTTTAGATAAATTTATTTTTCTTTTCAGACAATGTTTGTTGACAGTTATAGAAAGATATGACTTCCACCTAAAATACCTATTGAAAACCCAGGTATGGACTTTTGTTATTTCATCCATCAATTCAATAAGCATTGCAAGTATCATATATTTTTTATTTTTCTAAACTTCACAAGTTTCTGAAGATAAATGATGAGTGAATCAGAGGAGGCTTTAATTCTACCATAGAGAAATAGCCAAGTGAAAAGATATATGCAACAGTGTTTTAGGTGACTTGCATGACTTCTTAGCTATATATAAGAAGGAGATCACACATAGGCCAGTTTCAAGGCTAGTAGGAAAGTTTGTTATAGAAAAGAAACACAGTTGTATGGTCTACTGACACCAACTCCAGAAAAGACAGTGAAATTTGTTCCTTCGCCAACAACCTATTTAAGGACAGCAAAGATATGCTACTTCACAGAACAGCCCTACAGGAAGAAGACATTTAAATTTTATGGGGCCTCAAAGGAATATCATTAATTATTCATACTTTTTTTTTTTTTTAAAGGGGACAGAGATCTCAGGACTGGGTGCAGTTTAGTTATTTGCACTGATCTCATCCAGTTTGCCTACACAACCTGCTTTCTTTTCTTAGAGACTGTGTGCTTGCTCTTTTTTTAGTTATTTGCTTTCTTTCCCAAAGAAGTATGTGGCTTGCTCCTTTTGCTACAGGAAAAACATAAATCCTGACCTGTTAGATGTCAAATGTGCTGATTTTGTGGTCCCTCAATATCAAGGAACAAAGTCATGAACAAAAGGAGGAAGTTAGGAGAGCTTAACTGAAATAAGGAGAAGAGAAATAGCTCTTGGATTTTCAGGAAAAGTCCCAAATGGGTGGTCACCAACACCCTTTGTCAGGGGTAATTTATACATCAAAAATCACTGTGTAGGTACAGTGTGGTTCAGACTACAATCAACCTATAAGATTACAAATATAGCCACTTAGCTAATTCTGATCCAGTAGGGAACTGACTTATGTAGCAAGAGTATATGAAAAGAATCAAGACATTTGGGAAAGAGTGAAAAGTATGGGTCCAGATATTCTGGCCACCACCTATGTGTCTGATGCCTTGCAGGGCCCACTGGACCAGGTAATGCTAATTATAGCAATCTTTAATTGCTATTTATCTCTAGAGAGGCATGCAGGCCTTGCTGTTGCTCTTCCATGCTGAGACCTGTTTCATTTTAGATTTTGCTCCAGCCACAGTTGGGTGTCTCTGCTTTTTTTTGTGTATGTATGTGCTGACTTTCTCAAGGGCCCAGTCTTTCTCTGTATATTAATTTCTATCTAATTTAGCTGTTTATAATGCTTTGATTAGCTACAGTATTTGGTTTATTTCTTACTTTTATAACCCAAAAGTGCAGCTGTCAGTTGGTTTATTTCCTATCAGCTTGCTATCAGGCTGAGTCTGAGAGGTCCCCTAGGCTGAAATAAAGAACCTCTCCCACCCTTTTAAAATAAATTTGCATGTTTGCAGACTCCCGTCACAGAAAAAGAGCATGTCAGGAAGAGAGACATGAGAAGGGCTTATTAAAAAGAGACATAGAACACACTCAACAGCAGAGTGTGGGTGCTCAGAGAAATGAGATACCTTATGAGGCAGAGCTGGATACATTTAAGGGGTGTCGTCAAGATGGGTAATGTAGGACGTGTGTGCTATTCCGTCCATCAGGTTACCATGCAAGCCATCTACTGGTGTTTGCAGTTGAGAACTGCTGCCCACCAGTACTACTGCCTCCTGAGGTTGGAGGAAGTGCAGTTTACAGGTGAAAAGATCCCAGGTTTATATGCTTATTGTAAAAGTGATATAGGAATGATATCAGAACCTCCATAACGGAAATATAGCTCTCAACCTGCTAGATTCTGATATGCTAAGTTTGTGTTCTCTAAAGTTGAAGAATGAATTCTAGGAACAACAGAGGATACCAGGAGGAATATTTAGTGAGGAGGAGAGGTACAGCTCCTGAGAGGCAGGAGCAGACCTGCAGGTGGGTCGCCAAGGACTCCACCTTCAGGGGAAGTTTTATAGAGCACAATCACGTGGATGTAATATGGGTTATAGCTACAATCAACCAATAAGATTACAAGTACAGTCCTTAGATAATATTGATCTAGGGGGAAAGTAAGTCACGTAACAAAGGTGCATGGAGAGAGCAAAGAACTTTCTAGGATGAATCTGAGGGTCTTGCTCACCCACGGAGGTGAGCGATGTCTATCTTTTTGTTTGTTTGTTTGTTTTGTTTTGGTTTTTGGTTTTTTGGTTTTTCTCCGGTACTGGGAACCGAACTCATGACCTTGCACTTGCCAGGCAGGCGCTTTGCCACTGAGCTAAATCCCCAGCCCCTCCGATGTCTATCTTTGTTAGACCACTGGTCTGGTCATTCTGTCTTTGTCTCCAGGCCTGACCTCCAATGGATGTCCCTCGCCACAGTTGAAATGAGTTTTCATCTTTGCCCCAAGCAAGGGCCTACCCCCATCTGATCGCCTATAATATTTTTACCTGGCATAGCTGTTCATGCTAAAAAGGACTTTTCAGAATTCTTTTTTTTTTTTTTTTTTTTTTGAGAGAGTTTCCTGAAAGGGGAAAATTTGTTTTAAAGCTATAGTTTTTCCTAAAAGGACAATTTTTAAAAACATCATTTTCCTTGTCTCCTTTCTACCTAGTCTATTTCTTTTAGTCTGCCTCAAGGTGGTTATTTCAAAATCCTGTTAACCCCTTACCTCAGTTATACTCGTGTTCTTGCAAGTCAGACCGCCTAAGTTCAAATCTGTGTCTTTTTCTGTAGCTTGTTTACTGTTTGGCCCCAAGCACAAGACTTAACTACTAGCAAGTCATGTTAACTTTTTGCCTCAGTGTTCCAAAAGACCTGTGTGTCGGGGGAAGATACCAGAAAGGGTGAAGAACGGTGCCCATTTGAACTGTCTGTATAAAAATTAGTAGTTTTTTTAATCATCAGAGAAGAGGAATCTTGAAGAGAGATGAGGACTGGGGATAGATAACTCAGCAGTCAGGAAACAGCCTGGAGTCATTCAGAAACCATATAAAATTTTGCTTGGCAACAGAAAGGTCTCAAGGTGAGAGCTTGGAAAGAGACCAGAGGAAAGAGGCAGACAAGGCCTAAATTAAATAGGATCTGAAGGACATTTTATGGCTAACTTAATGATTTTCTAATTTATCAGCGGCTGATATTCAGCTGTTGTGCACAACACAGGATGACTGATGGGTTATTAGGGGACCATGTCATCAGCCTGCAGAGGTGATGAGGGCGTGGACTTACTCTCCACTAGAGAGAGGAGGAGCAGATGAAACTGTGCAATTTACATGATTAGATGAAAGACTCAGCAACCAAGGAAAGGGATGCTTAGGAAACTGCAGGTTTCCTGGCTGCTGAGTGAGTGCATGCAGACATCAGCTCACTAGAGAGAAAGAAGAAAAACTTCATGGACAGGAAAAAATGAAAGCTGCAATGCAAGGCTGCTGCCCTTTAGTCCCCTATGAAGCACCCAAGTTGTGATCTCCTTTAGGAGGCCACTTCCTGTAGCTTCTTCCAGGCAAGGTTTAGCGTTTCACAAATGAAACATATTATTACAGAAAATTGGAGGCATTGAGGTTTGTCTTTCAAACAAATGAGGACTTATTTTTCCATTAGATAGTTCACTCAATATAGAAAAAGATAATACACATTTCAGATAACTATTTGTAGTGTGTGTGAACATAAAAGGGACCTGAAAATAATAAAGTGTACTTTTTGGTGTGGATCCCAAACTCATTTGTGAATTTCCCACAAATATCAAAAGACATGGAGATGACAAATAAATAGTTCAAAATCCTAATCCTCTCACTGCAATTTCGTGTTTGTTTCTTGAACCTGACCTAAAACTGGAATTGTAAAGCGTGGAAGGTATAAAGAAACCACAGTTGGTTTGTGTTGAGTCTCAAAAAGATGTCATTATTAGCACCTCTCTGAGTTTCAAACTTGTTATAAAAATATATTAAGAGTTCATGTGTAGATTATTTATATCTCTTGACTTCTGTTGGGATCTATAATTATAGTTTGAACTATAACCCAAACTCGATATTGAACTTCTGTTGGCTTACAATAAAAATATAGTGAAAGGAATAGTTTCACCTCTACTAACAGAGCATTCAACAACAATAATGTACAGTGAACTAGTTATCTAGTTTCGTAAAGCTTAGCAATTATTTTAGTAAAGGTAGAGTGGTTAGGAAAAGAGAATGAAAAAAGCAAAATTTGAAAAGTTAATCAGTGTGGTATTATTCCAGAAAACAGACCAAACATGGGAAGAAAGGGCACCAAGAAGATTTAGGAGGCAGTTTATTACCCCATGGGCTTCTGACTGGAATCTCTCCCAAAGAGCCAGAGCTCTGCCTGGTGGGGTTATAGGATTTTTTTATGGGGAAGACGGTACAAAGGTAGATTTGGTACACATGATTGGAGGCTTGAGTGACATCACGAGTTCCTAAGGGAGTTTAAACATCCCAGATTACATTGCAAGGCCATCAGTTATACAAAGCATGTGTCATACAAAGGAAGAAATGTCTTATTACACTTTAAATTACATTGCAAAACCATCAGTTATACAAAAGCAGTAAAAGTAAGGGTTTCACAAAGGAACAAATGTTTTCTTATCAGGCTTGTGTGGGCATGTCTGCCTGGTTTTGGAGGGCATTCTTGGCAGGCTTTACTTAAAACTTTAATTTCCTTTTCAGTATGAGGTTACACTAATCTACTTCTCAGTGACTTTTAGTTATCTTTCTCGGAGCTACTCATGTAGCATAGGAGGCGTGATTACAAAGTGAGTGTGGCTTTAAATTTTTTAAAATTTATTACATTAAAACACACCTTGTCATGCATTAATCACCCACAAAATACATCTCCTCACCTTAGACATATTTATCCCATCATTCCTGCTGCTTTCTTTGTTTTTTGTTTTCAGTACCGGGAATTAAACTCATGACCTCAGGTTTACTAGGCAAGGACTTATGCTGCTGAGCTATATTCCCAGCCCCTCTCCTGCTACTTTCTAAA